GAAAATACTTGGTGAGTGAAGGTGGGACCTCGCCATTTACTGAGTGTCCAATCAGATAATAACCGAGTAAGCCTTTATGAGTGGGAGTCGATCGGTATCTGACTCTAAGAGGGAGAGTCGGCCAAGGTTACAGTCGGGTGAGTCGGCCAAGGTTACAGTCGAGTGAGTCGGCCAAGGTTACAGTCAGGTGAATCGGCCTAGGTAGTGCACAGGTTTATAGTCGGCCTCACACGCATAGTAACCCTTATATTCAGCGATACTAATCGGTCTACGGCCGAGCCGACGATACCAATCGACCTACGGGCGAGACGGTCCAATTAGAAAGGCAGGTTATGGAAGCAATTAGTCCACTAGACATTTTTGGCCTTTGGTAAGTATAGAATTTGGAATTTTGGAATGTTAATTTACATGGAATATGAGTTTATCTTTAATTATTTATAAATGAAGTGTTTTATGATATTTAAATTATGTTTAAAAAAATCGTTTGAATTAAGTGTGATTAAAATCAGAAGAGGTTCTTCAACTTGTTGTTGATCATTTTGTTAATCTTATAATGAAGTCCTATGATTGAAGATAATAGATTAAAATATGTTGTGAGAAGGATCGAGACACCCCGTAGTGTTCGTACCAAGTACCACGCATGTCCTGCGGGAGGGTAATTTATAGGAGTGCAGTGCAGATTCTGTACGCAAGACGCGTCCATCTCTTCTAATAGTGTGTGTTGTTTATAACAAGTTCTTTCATCATGTCATTTTCAATCATGCTGCTAAGTGCTAACATAGTATTTTTTTTTTGTGTATATATTTTTCTTTCTCAACTAAAATATTTGTAACGAAAAATTATAATAAAAACTTTATGAAAATTTCATTTACTTTTACAAAGTGAATCAAAAGAATAACATTCCAAAACGGAAAAAAAATAGGGTTTAAAATGTTTGAGATTTTGAAATTAAAAAAGAAGTACTTGTTTATAATACTTACAAAATTATTGATAATAAATAGTGTAAATTGTTTTTTTTTTTTTAAGTGTGAAACTAAACTTTCTTTTACAAAAGATCCATATATTCTTGTTTCGATTTTGCCTTTTTTTTTGTTTTTGAAAAAGCTTTCTTTCTTCGAAACCATTTTATTTTGTGGGGGTTAAGTATTGATGATCTTGTCTTTGTCGTGAAAAATAAAATATGGACAAAAGAAAAAGAATATTAAAAAAAAAAAGGGACGGTGTGGAAGTGGAGATGATAAGAACGGTGTGGTGAGGGCTATGAAAGTCAAGTAATTGATTAGATAGCCATCAACTCCGAGATGATGTTGACGTCAGATAAATAAAAACCCTTAATTAACATGAACCACCCCAACAATACAATTTAATTTAAATTTACCAAAGTCACTCTATACAATTTTTATTTTATTTTCAAAACTATTTATTACTCATTTTTTCATTTCACATAAATATCTTTCACTAATAAGTAACTAAAAATTTATATGATACATTAGATTAAATACGAATTTACGTTACCAACATGTAGTTTATCCAAATTATACATTTTGATTATTTTAAATAACATCTTGACTCTTCGGTTCGAAGCTTAGAAAAAAATTAATTATAAAGTTAAAGTCCGATGATTATCAACTTATTTTTTTTAATAAAATCAAGTTTAAATATTATAAATTTAAGATAAATTTATTTTTAATTTCTTAAATTTAAAATTATTTTTTTTTAACTTTTGTAATTTAAAAAAAATATTTGTCTTTATATTTAATTTTTTTAAAAAAATTTATTAAATATTTTCATATAAAATTTATCTATTAGTATTTTTATTAGTAAAAATATAATATTAAATCTAGTTGATGTTATGTAATTATTTTAATTTGTCACTTTCAAATATATTACTAATACTTAAAAGATTAATTTTTTTAAAAAAAAATTACAGAAATTAATTTTATTTTAAATTTTTAAAAATAAAAAATTACCATAAATTTAAAGGATAATAACATTTAAATTTAAATTAATTGTTATTAGAGTTGATGTTTATTTCATGCTATATAGCAATATAGTGTTATATATATATATATATAAGAAAAAAAATGGAACAGGATAATTATGATATTTCGAACAACTTGTGTTAGGAAAACCTTGTATTTTTTAAATAAAATTTATATTCCACCAAACCAAATAATACTTAAGTCTTTTTTTTTATTGGTTAAATATTACATATTTATTAATATATTGCACTCATAGTTTTATGTGTATTGTCTAATTACACATTGTTGATGAATATTTTAACTTTTGATGCCTCATGTCGGAAAAGAAAATGCATAAAATAATTAATTGCTGCGTGCTGTGAAAAAAATTATTTATTTTTAGTAGTTCTTAAATTTATTATGTAAATAATAATGTCGAAGGGTTATTTTTTTCAAAATAAAATTATCGAAAGACTGCTTCTTCAAAATATAAAATATTTAATGAATGTGGAGATAATTAAAAAACAAAAACTAATAGAACGACATATTGAAAATTAAAAATAATTTAATGATTTATTTTTTTTAACCTACAAATATAAATCAAAACAATAGTAATGAGCACTCTAAAAGAAAATAGTACACCTATTTTAAAAATAAATAAAATAATTAAATTACTCGATTAATATCAGGCACAATAATTGAAACGAGTTATTTTTTACAACATTATGTGCATTTTATAATTTAAATATTTATTTTATATAACAAAATTTTATAATTAATTATATAAATTAGTATTATATTTAAATATATAAATAATATTTAAATTTTTTATAAATAAATATTTTTTAACATTTAAATTATATTTTAAATCTAAAATAAATAATTTATATTATGACATAAATATTATGCATATATATATATATATATTTATAATTAGTTCACCATATAAAATAAAAGTTTGGATGATACATGACATGTTTCTTGTAATGTGATAAGTGGGTGGATGCATGTAAGAAACGGTCTCGTCATCGGTTCTGATTTCAACTTCAGGATTTGTTCTTCATTATCTAAAATGGAAATCTTTAATTGATAATTGATGCTGCATCTACTCCCACTTATCCCATTATTTTCTTAATTTTATTTCTCTAGGCCTCATCACAACAAACGTGAACCCCTCCTCATGCAATCACACGCCTCAACCTCAACCTCTTACCTCTTACCTCTAGGTATCACCTAAGATGTCGTATCGTAAAATCCACCGCTGCAGTACCCTCTCCTTCCTACACAAAATTTAGAAACGCTTCTACCATATTTTTATTTTTTAACTACAAACTTTAACTACTATTTATTATGCTCACTGCTTTGACTATCGTATTTATACTTATATATACATTATAAACTTTATTAAATACGTATCGTCGCCTTCTATCATTTAACAAATACTTCAAATTCTTTCATCAAAGTAACGTTTAGTAGTAATTCATAAGTTAATTACCTTTTTTTGTCAATTAAAAATATTACTAATAATTATAAGTGAATAATATTTGATATGACTATTTAATTTTTCAATAAAAAAAATAAGTAATTAAAATAATTATATAATAGTATAAATTAAAAATAATAAGTTTAAATTGTATAAATATGAAAAATAAATAATATTCTTTTTTGAAATATCAATATAAAAACATACTCATGATTTTATTGGTAGTAAAAAATATTTAAGCCAATATAGTAACGCTTAATGTGTTTAGTTGGTTGTAATAATAGTTAGATAGTAACCCGAGCGGTTTATTTGATAACTTGCAGCGTGGATCAAACTTCACAACAGTTGTTCTCACCAGAAAATGACCTGAAATATAAATTTGATTGTAATGTATTTGATAATATAATTTTTATATCATCAATTGATAATAGGTTATTGTACCGTGGTGGCCGACCAGAGGTAGGTCGGTAAAATGCCGATCATACAAGAGGGACTCAAATACGGGAAGATTAACTGACTCACTCGGACAATCAATAAGATCCCACGATCCGTGGGAACGGTAATAAATACCGGGAGTTACGAGTCTATAATGAAGCGTGATTTATGGGATCATAAGTGTGATTCATGTCTATAACACTACACCGTTATATATAACAATGATTAGGTTAAGGCGGCAGATCAAGACTGCTGTCAAGTTCTTTTAGCTTGATATCGCTAAGGGTTCTTCGGCGGCGGTCTCCAATACTGGAACAGTTATCGTATCATAAAATATGAAATTTAAATGAATTATTTTAAAAGTTATATTTAATTAAATATAATATAAGTAAAAATGAATGGAATTAAAGCTCTATAAAGATCATAGATTCCAACAAAATTTTCTAGTCTCATATGAGGGTTGCTTTCCAAGTCTTCCAGTGGCCAGAAAAGAAAACAATAAAACAAGTTTCCCCATGACTTTAAGCATAAAACAACATTCTTGCCCATTGGTTCAATTTCACAATAAAATTGAAATTATTCTCTTCACTCCACACTGTGGGCTTTCAAAATTTCATCACTTTTCTTTCTATTTTTTAAAGTGACAAAAAAATCTGTTCGGTTACTATAATTTATTATTACTGTTGTAAACTTGTAATAATATTCTACTACTCTTATCTTTTCATTTAATTTTCGCCATAAAGAGATTATTGAGAGAGAGAGAGAGATATATCTTGTTTGATTAATGTGGCGTATTACACGCTGCACCGCTTTCCGGAGACCCGGGGCGTCTGAGAGAGAAAAAGTCGAAAGGCGACACAGAGCGGTGATTATTCCAAATGACCCTCAGTAACCGCGCGCCACGTGGCACGATAATTACCCCTCAGTCGACATACATGGCAGACGCAGAAGCCGTCTGTCACACACGAGCGCGGTGACACACAAATCCCCCACTACTTTAACCGCAGTGTAAAATTGCAGTTCATGTTCATTGATTTTTTTAACCAAACCACGGTCACCGAGAACCTAACCACGGTCAAACGCGAGTTAAGTGGCAGTTTATAAGCAACCCAACCCTGCCGGAGTTTCTGTAACCAAAATTCATCACTAAAAACAATGATGCTCGGAGAGCACCATAGAGCCAATCCAACGGTTCACGTGCCACCGTGGCCAACTGACGATAATCCAACGGCTGAGATGTTTTCGCCGTTTCTAACTAACGACGCCAATGCCGGCGAGTACTCTCCGTACTATCTCCAGGAGGCGCTAACGGCGCTGCAGCGTTATCTACCGTCAAACGAAACGGACGCCGATTCTGACTCGGAGGTTGCGATGGACGCGCCGGTCGACGCGTATTCCTGCGACCACTTCCGCATGTTCGAGTTCAAGGTGAGGCGGTGCGCACGTGGCAGATCGCACGACTGGACGGAGTGTCCGTACGCGCATCCCGGCGAGAAGGCGCGCCGCCGCGACCCGCGGAAGTTCCACTACTCCGGCACGGCGTGCCCGGAGTTTCGCAAGGGAAGCTGCAAAAAGGGCGACGCGTGCGAGTTCGCGCACGGCGTCTTCGAGTGCTGGCTCCACCCCGCGCGCTACCGGACTCAGCCTTGCAAGGACGGCACCAGCTGCCGCCGGCGCGTGTGCTTCTTCGCGCACACGCCGGAGCAGCTAAGGCTGGTTCCGATGCAGAGTCCGAGAAGCTCAAACTCGCCGGAGTCCTATGATGGTTCTCCGATGAGGCAAATCTCGATGGCGCCGTTTATGTCTTCTCCGGCGGCGTCTGTCTCCCCGCCGGAGTCGCCGCCGGTATCGCCGTCGATGAACGAGATGGTGGCTTCTCTGCGGAATTTGCAGCTTGGGAAGGTAAAATCCATGCCTCAGAAACGAAACGCGTCGATCGGGATCGGGTCACCTTGCTTCGGGTCTTCACCGAGAGGTTCGGTGCTCCGACCCGGTTTTTGTAGCCTCCCGAGTACGCCAACTCAGCAACCGGTTCGGTCGGGTGTTAGTTATTTCGATCTTTGGGAGAAGAGTTGTTGCGAGGAAGAGCCGGTGATGGAGAGGGTGGAGTCCGGGAGGGACATTAGGGCTAAGATGTTTGAGAAGCTGAGCAAGGAGAATTCCCTGGACGGGTCGGGTTCGGGTCAGGTAACCGGGGCTCCGGATGTTGGGTGGGTTTCAGAGCTCGTGAAGTGATGGGGCTTTTATTGTTTGGAGTTGTGACGGTGTAGTGTAAATATTTGATTTTCATGGTATGGTATGGTATGGTATGGGTGAAGAGGATAATCTCTTTTTTGGGGGGAGTTTTCTTGGAAAATCAAGAGTCAAGTCAAGACCTCTCCACATGATGCATTGATTTGGGAGATCAAAGTATCCAAAGCTTTTGTATAGTTAGTAGCTTACTATTATTATTATTGTTATTATTATGAATATGAATTATTATTACCATGTTTTAATTAACTAGTGTGTCTGTTATTGTCCCTTACTAATCTCATTGATGTACAAATGTATAATGTTTAGGATCCAAGCCAAGCCAAGCTCCTTCTAGCTTGTCATGCAGATTATTTATGTGAAGTATATTTTGTTGAAAATTTTCTGCTTCTCTGTGTTCTCTGTTGTGACTTTGTTTTAATTGCTTGTCACAGATCTTGTGGTTGTGTTTTTAGCTTGCAGAGGAGGTTTGGTTTTATTTGGGACAGATTCTCTTCTGTTTGTGTAGTGAAGACGAGAGTGGAAACCAGAAACGATTTTGCTGTGGTGTATCAGAATAACTTGTCTAAATCTTTTTTGTGGTTGAAACATTTGAGATAAATTTGCGGAAATTGGGATGGAAGTGAGTGACTGATTTGGTTTAACGGTTGGATTCTAACTATTAAAAATGAAAGAACTTATAAAAAATAGTGTGAAGTAAAATCCAGATACCCTGTACCCTACAACAGCACCTAACATTTGGCGGGTAGTGCATTTGGGATAAGAGCATGGACTTGGCGCAGCATGGTAAAGGAAAAGGTTTGGATACGAATTCATGAGATATAAGGTATATATCTTCAGGTTCGTTTTAATGAACGTGAAGGAATGATTTTTAAGCTCGCATTTACACATGATTTTTAAAATAGTTCTAAAATCTTCCAATTTTGTTCTGAGAAATTAATAAGTGGGTTTTGATTAAATTTTAGTTTCAATGCATTTTGAAATTGTTGTTCTCAATCCATTAGAGATATGGCAATAATATAGTCTATAGTTTTTAATTATATGATAATCCAGTTGTAGTTAGATTTCCATTAATTTTTACATTAGTCAATGAATTCCATTCGAGAAGTTCCTTCAGTTCTATCTCCTCATCCTCGTGCGGTAACCCATTTTGACACGAAAATGGTGACTTGTGAGTTTTCTTTGCAGTTTTGTCGACTTGCAAAGAGATGGTTCCATCGATGATGTCAGTATGTGACCCTCAGAGGAAGCATTACTTGTTAAGAAAAAATATCGATCCTCTTGTTATCTCGAGTGTAGAAGACTAAGCCGATGAATGAGTAAAGCATAGGATGTTTGTATTATGTCACTAGATTCTTATTGCCCCAGCTAAAGATTATTAGAGTCTAAAGTTGAGCAAGTCTTGAGTTAAAGTGACCCGATGAATGGTGTATTAAATTATTAACCACGTTAAAAGGTCAGAGCAAGTAATTTTACATCAATAGCTAGTTTGAAAAGTAAGCCTATCACTCATCGCGATCATAGATCTGTCATCCTGAAATGGACCGGGGGAACCTATACATATCTTAAATCCAAAATTGTCAAGGGTTTTAGATTGGTCTGTGTTACTTTTTCTACTTTTTATAATCATATTATTGGTGATGATTTATCAACTTTATAGATTATTAATATCTGTTGAATAAACTAATTGATTTTAATGAAATCTCTAAATTCCAATCGTGTTATTTTTATCGTAATAGTGTTCTCAAGTCTTAACCCTAGTGGCTAGTGGTGGCACGTTTGTAAATTAAGAGTAAAAAGCAAATCACAATAATCCTTAAATTGACATGAACGTCTAATAAAGGTGTAGACCGTATGGTGCTTGTTGCCCCACTATGCCATTTCCATTTGGGGACATAAGGTCCTCGGATACTTGTAATATGTTCCAGAAGCATTTAGTGTGCTTGTCTTTTATATGAGCAAATTTTCACGCATTCTTGAGTGTTCTATATAAAATCTCAAGTGGTCCATGTTAGTTAGAACGTGAATTCTCATAAATTGTTGTTTTATAAACAATCATGTGAAATGTCCAAGATTAAATAAATTTGCAAACCATTACATTTAAATAAAACATTTTCAATGCTTTGAAATTATTGATATTGATTCATTACTACATGGTCTTTTTAACTAACTTTTTTTTTTCCGGAAGATTATCACTTTAAACTAATACGTGATCGTTGTATCAAAAGTTCCAGCTGGAGAAATCAGAGAGGGAAAAGGGAAAATAAATAAACCGGAAAGAAATTACTAGTAGCTTCACAATAGGCATGCCAACTCTGAACTTAATAACAGTTAATAGGGATAGTAACTTGTATTCTCATCAATCATAAAAGACAAATTTTTTGTCGCTTTCTTCTTGAGTGGCCATGTCTAGGAATTCTTTGACACCGGAAAGGGGAGCAGTGACATAGAATCAAGAAATGGGACATATGGTAAGTGTTCTATATTGTGTTATATTTGTGATGCATTAGAGAGTTAATTGATGCATATTAGTGCTACAAACGCTATGTTTTTTCAGTTATATATTTGATTCCTCTCGATCATATTTGTAGGAGCATTCAGAGAACTACAAGTGGAGATTTGATAGGGAATTTTACAAGCATTAACATGCCCTCTTATGAATTTTGAAAAGGGGAAACGTTGAAACTTTTTTTTACTATGTAATAAAAGAAAAAGAGGACAAACTATTACATTCTTTCTGTAGAAGTATTAACAAAATTTTATGAAAAAACATTAAACTTGATTAACGAACCAATTGACTATTTTTTCCACTAAGAATACAAACATAAAAGTCACTGTCATGGGGAAGAGCCTATGTTTTCGAAAGTAAAAGTTTCATAGCATCCCCTGAGTTGAGGGAAAACTGTTGGTTGTGTGCCAACAGGTTTTTGTTTTCAAAAATATTTATGTAAATGAATTATTAAGCAACAGACAAGATTAAATAGCTTGTGCCTTGTGGCATTTTGGCGATAAGATGCTGATGGAATTGACTAATACTGCCATATATACTATACAACGAAATTGAAAACACTTTCATGTATTATATGTATCCATGCTATGCATGTCTATATTCATTACAGATTATCTCTCAAAAGAGAATATTAATAATGTCCTTGGCGCTATCCCAAAAGACAGAATCCTGCAAAGAAGATAGAACCTCTTTAGTGTGCTTTGAGTTGGATTGATACCTTCCTAGTTCATAATTCATATCACTCTCTGGGTTGGTGTTTACTGTGCAAAGCCTTTTTTTTATATTTTAAAAATAAGATAAATAATTTCTTATTTGACTTCATGTTCCATTTGGAGTTTTTTTTAACCATGTTATTTGTATAAAGTACTACTAATTTTATTGATAACTAATTTTTATAATTTTTAAAAATTAAGATCAAATTCAGCTTTTAATTTATATTTATATATATATATTAAAATTTTCTGAAAAATACAAGTCTCTTCACATAACGTGATGAAAAGATTTGAAGTGAGAACAAAATTGAACATATGAAAAGAGAATTAAGTTTTTTTTTCTTTCTTTCTGCCTTTTGTAGGTTAAGCTCAAATTAAGTAATGAATAAATCAAGCTATAAAGGTCTAAATTTAGTTAGTTTTTAAAATTTAAAACTAAAGCCTTACATTTCATTAAATGAGTTCAAGTTAGGCTAGTTTTAGGCTTAATGTCAAGTTAGGTTAGTTTTAGGCTTAATGTTGGTTGGATTATAAATAGATCTAAGTCAAAAGGTCTAGATTCAAGTTGATATTCTAAAATGAGGCCTAACTCAATTATGTGGAATTTTTTATTTATTTTATTTTAAGATAAGTCCTTGTTAGGCCATGATTTAGTCAAGTTAAAAAGGCTTAAATTAAATTCTAGAAATTCAAAATCTAAGCCCTACACTTCAACAATTGAGTTGAGGCTAGGTTAGTGCGATAACAAAATGAGCTCAAATCTTATGGGTATCCATAAAAATAGTGTTAATGGAAAGAATGAAAAGACATGATATGTTTATTTTTCCTACTAATATATAATTATCTAAATAAAATACGTGATATTATAAAAAAAAAAATTATAATCTACAATCCTAAATTGTAATATTTTATTATATTATAATTGTTCTATTTTCTGTTGACATTTTAAATTATTATTTTATATACTAAAGTCTTTTTCTTTTTTTAATTATGTTTTAGTTTCTATTGATATTGTTGGACAAAACAATATCTAAAACAGTGAAATAAGCGTTTACACAAATATGAAAAATTTCATTCTAATGACGAATTAAATTAATCTATCTATTTGATCTCTTCATGTTATGTTTTCTCCATTTGAGAGTTATAACACGTATGATCTCCCCATGCGAGAATACCATACTGCTATATGGAACTCATTAAATTGCAAGTGACATGTTAATTGTTTATTTGACTGATTTGCAATTATAAAGTGGTTCGAGTTTGTCAATTGTCAGAATTTCTAATCCTTGATTTTTGCTTTAAGATAAGAAGAGCATAAGAATAAAGAACATCATACTACCACATTTGTTATTTATTCCTTTACCCATTTTCTGTTCTTCTTCCCTTTCCATTTTGAATGAAATTCTAAATTCGATTTCCAAATATGCAAAATTTGTTTGCAAGTCTTCAAAATTCCTTTCACAGTTTCACATCCAAAGAGGTTGTAAAAAAATTCGTTCGGTTTTTTCAGGTGTCATGAAACAGACACTTTCTGGATCTGAGCTTTTGCGTCATAACATTGGGTCTTTTTGAGAACTAACTTCTAACGGTATGTTTGTATATTGGGCTTCAATGTTAAAAATGCAATTTGTAGCCTCATGATACATGCATCTTGTCTCTTTTATAAGTATATCTTTTTTATAAAAAAATAAAAATTCTTAAAATATTTTTAATTTTTAATTTTATATCTTCAACTTTCAATTTATCATCCTTTCTTCTCTTTTTTAATTTTCACATTGTTTGTGGTGAAATTCGTTTGAGTTCTTTTTATTTGAACTAGCACAAAATTGTTTCAATTTAGTTATTTACGATTAAACTTTCTTAAGAATGGAGACAGACGAGACAGAGTGACTAATAAGTACTTATTTCCAGATTTTCATCAATGATTATCAAGCAATAATTTTCATGCATGTAGATACTCAAATAAACGGAATGAACAATACATATATTAACAATACAAATCATCCTCCAGTTCGCATAATTATCAAGTTACAATGTATAGTAATCTGGAGAAGAAAATAAACTATGAAACTAAACTATATTAAACTAAAACAACCTTAGAAAAAGAAGGAAAAAATGTGGCCAAGAAGTTGTCATACCCAACAGTTCCATGCACGGAAGCCATATGCGCAGACAGTGAGTGCTTGAGAATGCAAGTATGATTTTTTGCGACCTTCGTACATGAGGTTGCTTCTTCTATTTATAGAGATAATCGAGAGTGGTTAATTTTGTGTGGGTTCAACGTGGGCGTATAACCACTGTCCACTATGTAAACTACGTGGCCTGAGCGTAACTCCTCGTAACCGTTCTTCTATGCATTTTTATTTCCTCGACTTGATCTTTAGTAACCACTTTGGTGTAACTACTTAATTGCTAAAAAACCTCCAGTAACTTCCTCTTACATTTTTTCGAGCAATCCTCGAATATGCATGTCTATAACTTCTGATATTCTTTTTTGGTAGGTACCTCTTCAATCATCCTTTTCTTCGAGTAATTTGTATAAATATTTTTCGAGTGACCCCAACACACATGCACTCTATTGTCTTTTCTTCATTTCTCACTAATTTTAGTAGATCATTTTAGTTCTTTTGCCTTTTACATTACTCTTTTTTTGCTTGACTTCTTTTACTTTTCACTCTCACCTAGACCGTAAAATTGATGCGCGACGACGTTGTAGACATGTGTGGCTTCCTTGACCATTTCTGTCGAATTAGATGCACATTTTTCTTTCAACACTTCCTCCTATTTCAAACCTTCAAAAACCTTAATATTAAATTTAGTGTTATGAAAAAAACATTTTGGAACACTAATTTAACTATTTTGGGAATAGTAAAATTAGTGTTTTGAGAAGTATTTTTTAGAATTTTATTTTTTTTTACATATTTTCGAAAAGTACTTTCCAAAATAGTAAATTTAGTATTTCAGGACTAACTTTTTCCAATAATGTAAAATAACACACTTTCGAAAAGTACTTTTCAAAATAGTAAAATTAATATTTTGGAAAATACTTTCTCGAAATGTGTTATTTTACATAATTTCAAAAAAAGTTCTTTTTGAAACTATAAATTTAATTTTTTGGAAAGTACTTTTTAGAAATAAAGATGAAAATGTAAATTAAATATATAAAAGGATTTACTTTTTTTTTTTCCAAAATCACTTTTTGAGCACTTGAATCCTAAATAGTCTATACAAATAGTCGAAACTTTAGTCCATTAGTATTAATCAAACAACCATGTGCATGCCCAACATAAAATAACATGCAAATCATCAAAAAAAAAAAAAAAAGGAAAACTGAAACTCGTAATAAATATTAAACAATAATACAGTCATCCGAGAAACAAGCATCTAACCTACATAATAAAGCAAGTGTAATGCAAGCATGTCTTACATAAAAGAAATGTACGAATTATTCTTTTCTTTAAGTCCCAATTAACTCTCTTTTCATTTTAAATCGAGATTCTCCTTCGGATAAAAGAAAAATAAATAAATAATCAAAATTAAAATATATTTAATTCCTGAATTTTTCCCTAAATATCCTAAAACAATTATAAAAAGAATAATAAAATACAAATAGAAAAATGCAATGCACATGGTTATAAAAAATGCATGCATTGCGTATTATATAACAAAGAAATATTGACTGATAAATCTACATCGGTTTTTCAGAACTGATGTAAAATTGTATATATTTTCTACATCGCTCTATTCTACATCCGTTTTAGAACCGATGTAGATGCCTTTAGAGAATCGATGTAGAATATGCATCTTGTAGTAGTGCACTGACAGTATATAGGTGATTAACTCAATTCTATTATCCAACTTTCAAAATTGCATGTTTTATCTCCTAATTATTTTATTTTATTTATTTATTTTTTTACATTTCATCATCTAATGTTTGATCTTTTTATACTGTTAGTTGTCTACTAATATAATATATTTGATTGTTAATGTAACATATCAACTTTAAAATAATTATATGTAAATATCACCAATTAACGTGTTAGCAGTTAACATGTCAAAATAGTCAGTGATGAACATAATATGTAAATGGTTAACCAATAATATTGGTATAAAATTGAATAGAAAACTTTACATAATCTTGAAACATTATGGAAAAAAAAATGCAATGAACCCTTATTTTATTGAATTTGAGTACCCTCACTATTGACCGGCACTCTCTTCAGTCTTTTTACCTTTATTTCCAAAGAATAGCCAACTCAGTAGGTTGGAAATACCGAGCACACTGATTCAAAGTAAGGAGAGAGCAGGTATGATAAGATCATAAAAATGGAAACAAAAAACAAGAGCCAAGTCAGTTAGTCAGTCAGACAAAGTCAAGAGTTTAAAAGTTCCGACACATGTAGATGTGTTTTTAAAACCACATGTTTTGTGCTCACTTAGTCACTTTGACATCTTCTCCAACCATATACACCAAATATTTTTCACTCTCTCTCCATTTTTTTTCTTCCTCTGTGATTGATCTTTGTGGTATATTCATTTCAGTGGCCAAGTAGGCCATGGGAAGGGCTCCATGCTGTGACAAATCTAACGTGAAAAGAGGGCCATGGTCTCCTGATGAAGATGCCACCCTCAAAAACTACCTAGAGAAACATGGCACTGGTGGTAATTGGATTGCTCTCCCCAAAAAAGCAGGTTTCTTTATTCATCACTCCCTGTGTTGTCCTCTCTTAATTAATTATTATTCTCACAGAAAAATTCATCTTCTTTGTCATTCATTTGTAGGTTTATCTGTATTTTTCTTAATAATACCAATAATATGACTAAAATTGTATATATAAATAGAGATAAATTTGATAAACTAGTCTTTAGAGTTGAGTTAGGTCTGAACTAATTCCAATATCTTTGAAAAATTGTGTGCTCTTTTAGGCCTTAGGCGTTGTGGAAAAAGTTGTCGTCTAAGATGGTTGAACTATCTCAGGCCTCATATAAAGCTTGGAGGTTTCACTGAAGAGGAAGACAAAATTATCTGCACCCTTTATGACACTATTGGAAGCAGGCAAGTCCATTATAATCGTTAATTATTATAATTTATTTATTTATTTTATATGAAAGTATAACATAAAATGCACTTTATTTGAATTATTGATTTTGAGAATATGCAATCCTTTTGCATTATTACCAAGTGAATATATATGCAACGCTTTTTCCCTCAGGTGGTCCCTTATAGCAGCTCAATTTCCAGGGAGAACGGACAATGATGTGAAAAATCACTGGAACACCAAGCTAAAGAAAAAGTTCTTGGCAGAAAACACAAGTGTTGCCACAAGCAATAATTACACTTACTCTGAACAATTCTCAACTTTTACTGATCTTCAACCTCAAGTTGAGGCCTTTATCTTGGACCAAAAACTGAACTCACCTTGGTTTGGCTCCAACCATGTTTATGATTTGGAACAAACACCAATTCCAGTTCCTTTTCCAATGCCTCAAGAATTTGAAGCTTTTGATACTGGAAGCAGTTGTAGTAGTACACCACCCTCTAAGGAAGTTTCAATGCTTTCCAATGCAGCTTGCTTAGTACAGCACAACAAACATACACAATGGTTTGGTTATGACCACCATGCAAATCATGAGGATGATCCAACTTTGCTTCAGGTTGTGCTTGAAGATCTGCTGAATCATGGATTTGCTTCTTCTAGTAGCCAAGTTGATCTACCAAAAAAAACTTGAAGGAAAATAATTTAAGGGCATGCATATTGCATGCATATGGAATTAATGACCAAGTTATTTATATTTTATACAGTAGTGGTAATCAAATACCTCTTACTAGTGTTTAGCTTTCTGATTAAAGCAGTTGGTTATATGTGGAATTGTGTGAGCTTCTGCATTGTTTTCAAACTTAAAGATGAGTGGTGTATTATTGGAAGTATATGAAATTATGCATGTTAGTCAAGAGATCTACTGCGTGTCTTTTCTCATGTTAGAAGAATCTGACTAATGGTATGCTTTTTATGGAATATAGTTTGTCATATAATACTGTGGGTGTGTGGGGGCCTCAAATTCAAAGAATGTGATGGCACGTGGTCAGCAAAATTTGTTTGGTTGTTCTTAGTGTGGTCAGTGGTCATGAAACCAGCGTTGGTCCTTAAGCAATTTCCAAAACGGGAAAAAGGGATTCCAATCTGACAATAACAACTACATCCGCGACTATATATGTGTCTCTCTTGCTTCATAACTTACCTTTGCTCCTCACTGCACACCCATCTATTTCAGATACTATAGTCTGTAGTATCACAATTCACAAAGGTGAAAAGAAATCTGCTTACTTTTCTTTCACACAAGCTTTTACCCATTTATTATGTAATTAAAGTTTGTTTGAATATAAATTTACAAGTATTTTTTTTAAAAATTATTAAAAACTACTTTTGTAAGAGAAATTTTAGAAAACGTTTATATTTTGTTTCTAAATAGATTGTTATTATACACTTATAGATGTTTACATTTTGATTGTACTTCGATATTTTTTTTAGTCTAAGTTTATTTTTTTATAGAAAATATAAAATACTTCTGTTTATATATATATATAT